TTTATTCAGCCTCGTCTGCAACCTTCCCCTTCGGGTAACTGGGTTTCAGATTGCTGACAGACTCGTTTTTTTAAAGAACTCTGGTCTTTTAGCTGAAGTCAGACTTCAGTAAGATTTGTTCTCCAAAGGCAAGAGTCCATGGACAAGTCTGGGATATTGCCTTAACTGAGCCTTGTATCCCAGAAAGCCATTATCCGAAGCACTGCCTTCAGTTGGTCCCGTGTTTCGGATACCCATTTTTAAGAAATAGAGAAATTGTTTATTCAGCTGAAGTCATACTTCAATTTCTGAGGGGGCAAGAGGCACTACCAGTGCAAGTTTATGTTCAGCAGAATTGAAGAAACAGTAAAGCATTCAAAGTAAGACAAAGCAGTTGAAGAAAGGAACGTCAGATTAATAATTCATGCTCAGAAATTGAGCTACAAGTTCAAATAAATTAAAAACTATATCGGCAGCCGCCCACAAGCGGAAAATAACAGCTGCCGAAATACGTACAGAAGCAAAAAATAAACTGTTTGTACGAAAAGGCAAGCTGAAGCAAAAAACAAACAAGGCAAAAATTCAGAAAGCAGCAAGTCTAAAGTTGAGCGCATGATGAACCGCAAGATTCTGAAGACGACTGCTCGAGTTCCTATGCTTCAGCCCGAGGATCAGACTGATTAGCATTGTGGGGCCCCATGGTGGCCTCAGCCCCAGCAGCAGAAGAAGCAGGCTTTGCACTCTGCCGAGCCTCCCTTTCCCTCTGTTCAGCCTCCAACTCCTTTCTCTCAGCTTCTTCTTCGGCTTCCTCAGCCTGAAGGATTTCAGCTTCGATTGGAGTTGCATATTTCATATGAGGGTCTTCGGGATCCTTGACCCATTCAACACATTTGGACCAGTCCAACTTCGGCTCAGCATGTAGGCAGACTCTTCGGCACACTCTGAACCCGTTTCTGAAACCCATTTCATACTCTTCTTGGGTATAGATACGGACTTTGAGTAGAGCCTCAGCATCAGCCAACTTCTTCTTTGTCTCCTCCAAGTCTTCTTTGGATTTCTTCAGCTCATCGGCGAGCTTGGAGGAGGAACCTTTCAGCTCGTTCAGCTCCTGCTGAACTTGGGAAGCCTCTGTCTGAGCCTGGGTAAGTTCTTCTTTTTTGGCCATCAGCTGATCCTCAACTTCTTGGAGCTTAGCTCTCTGAGCTTCAGCAGCATTAGCAGCCTCTGAGAGTTGGACATTCCGGGCTTGGAGCATCTCTTCAGCGGCCATTCTACTGGCTTCAAGAGCTTCCAGCTTTTGCTGCACTTCAGCTTGTGCAGCAGCTCCTTCTTGGATTCGGCTCCCAATGGTAGCCTTGAACTTGGAGATGTCCACTCCCATGTGCTCTTGAAGGAATTTTTCCCCTTCCATCAGTGGGGGAAAAACTTCCTTCTCCATAGCATCGCAGAAGGTTTTAAGGGTTTCAGCAGCTCTTTTTTCATATTCTTCACCCTTCTGCTGCTTCTCTTCAGCTGCTGCTTGCTTCAGCTTAGCAAGCTTTAGCTCCTCCTCAGCTACCTTCTTGTCATACTCGGCAGCATCCACCCTATCTTGTAGGGTATCTATCATCTCTGCAGTGAGAGTCTGATTGTGCACGAACTGGAAACAGGAGCACAAGTCAACAGAAAAAATAATAAATAATAATAATAACTGAAACTGAATTGAAGAGCTGAATTGAAAAAGAGATAAAGGCAAGGAGAATCACCTGCATCATCAGCAGTTGGTTAGACCTGGCTGGGTCTGGAACTGATCTGCTGGATTCGCCCATCCCAGCAGTGGCCTTTAGCGACCAGATTCTTGCCCTATCTACTTCGGACATGCCAGCAAAATCGCCGAAGTAGGCTGCAGCACCTTCTCGGTTCTGACCCCATATGAGGTCCCAGATGTGATCTGGGATTGGAATTCGGGGGGCCGAGAAACCCATTTCCCCAGACTGCAGCGTCTGGAAGGAAGGGAAGGATGACGATGGAGCTTCTTTAATCTTGGATGGCTCGGCATCCCCCTTCTTCTCAGAAGAGTCAATTATTATGACTTCTTCTTCTTCAGGTGTGAGGACGAAGGCCTCAACCTCTCTTGCAATGTCTGCCGTGAAACCCTCAGCACTGGGCATCACAGCATCCTCATTTTTGTGCTCAGCAGCACTCTCTTGAACTTCCTCTTGGACCCCTCCCTTAGGTTCGGGAGTTTTCTGATCCACCTCCATCTCGGGAGGTGGCGGAGGGGTCTTTGGAGGTGATTGAGGTGGCGGCCGGGGAACCCTCGGCGATCCATTTCCTTCCTCGGGTTCCCTTATCTCGATGCCGATGGTCATCGGCCTCCGCTGAAAGTCATGCGGGCCGATGATGGCCATTCTTCGTCGCCTTTTCTGAAGCGGCTGCTCGTCCATGTCTGAGTCTGAAGACTCTTCTTGTGCCTGGTCTTCGGGACGAACAGGGGCTTTCCCTTCTCTATGTCTATTACTCTCTTCGGATTGTAAAAGACAGGGGAGAGGAAGAATGTGAGTAAAAAAAAAAAAAAAAAAAAAAAACGCACACACAGAAAAAACTAAGTCTAAAAGCTCACCGAGGTCTTCAGCAAAGCCTCGTCTTCTTCAGCTGCCCTAGCTGCAGCTTCTTCTTCAGCAGCCCTGGAGGACCCTTCTCCTCCTTCACAAGCTTCGATAACCCGTGCAACCTCTTCGGCCGTACGGGCAGCTTCAGCTTCTTCGTCTAGCAGCTGAAACCAGGGATCTCTCTTCTTCCACCAAGGCTTCTGCCTCTGATACAGAGCAACAACCTCAATTTGGAAATGGGAAGAGTCTAGATGAACTTTCCTATGCCTCGGTTCAGTGATAGAGGGGGCCCGATCAGTTACAACTCGTTCTCGGTTGACGCCAAGACGAGCGTAGTTAATGCCGACGTTGGTCTCGTCCCGCTCTGAAAAAGAAGAGGGAAAAGGTCAGTTCAGTTAGGTTGACACAACATAAAAGAGCGAAGTGAAAACGGAGGAAAAGAGATAATTAAAAGGCCTCGGCCCCAGCCGAAGAAACTTACCATCCCTAAACTTTCGGCTGAGGCCGACAGCTGCTAACATGTTCTCTTGGAAGACATAATGCGTATCGGGGAGCCAAGTCTCCGGGATATGTTGCATTCAACCGCTGCCCCCTTGGTTCGGCAGCTTGCCGAAGATGTTCTGTTGATTAAGGTTCGGATCTGGGCCGTTATCTTCGGGGGGACCTAAACTTCCCATGTCGGGATCAGGCTCAGCAAGATACCTGGGAACGCTGAAGACGCAAGGGTGGCCCGGGTCCGTGGGCGCCCTAACCCAAATCCATTGACCTCTCCAGTCCTTGTCTGAAGAGTCGTTCGGCCACATGGTTAGGTACTGGGGCCGAGACTCAATCCGGTACCACCCAGAACCGTGACTCCCATGCCCACTTTGAATATTTGGCACTAGCCGATGGAGCTTTTTGAAGCAGTGCAGGTTCGGCACATACCTGAAGAACTTGCAGACCCATAAGTATGTCATCACCCTTCGGATGCTAATGGGAGTTAGCTGACATAGGGAAATATTATAATGGATCAGCAAGTCTCGGACGAATACGTCCAAAGGGAACCTCAGCCCATACTGAAGTTGTCTTGTGTACACCCCCACATACCCCGGGGGTGGACGATGGATTCTATCGGATGCCACGGGCATTCGGCACCAATACCCATCAGCTTCAAGGATGCCGTAATGCAACTCAATCTGTTCAGCAAACCGATACTGTTCAGCATTCTCCACCCACCACGAGTAGGGGCGGTTCTTTATCATGGCCAAAGCTACTTCAGCATCCTCCCACTCCGAAAACCCAGGAAGGATGTCCCAAAGGATAGCGGGAACTTCATCGTCCCGCCCAGAAGCGCTCGGCCCCTCCGTTCTCTGAGGAGGAGCCGAAGAAATAGGAGTCGCCCTAATCCCTTCAGCAGGATCAGGCTCTGCTCTCTGTCCATTCCAGGTCCCAATCCTGTTCCTGGGATCGGGAATTGGCCTTGCTCTTCTTGGAGCACGGGTTCTACCTCTAACTCCTCTCACCATGGATGAATTTCGAAGAAAAAAGTCGAAAAAAGGGGAAGGAGTTCAAATTCGAAGAAAAATAAACTAAAATCAAAGGAATTTACCTTAATCTGAAGCGAAAGTTGCCGATTTACGAATTGGTAGTGACGAGTCTCAGTTTCTAAGCTTAATGCTCGGGTAATTTGCGAAGTTTTGACGCGGGTTCTTGGGCTCTCTCGAGAATTCTGGGTTTGTGTTGGTGAATAAGTGAGGAGAGATGACGCGCCTCTAATTATATCTCCAGAAATGGGAATTCTGGGAGTCCGCGTTTCAATTTCTCTTAAACACCCCACTAAGTAACCGTTAAACACACGACCTTGAGATTAAACCGCCCATTATCCGTCCAACTTCCACAATTATTCGCCTTAACTGTTGTTATCTCATTAATTACGGTTTAAATTCAAATTTCTTGGATTAATTAAATCATTCACTTCCCTCCTTTTCTGATTAATCAAACCCGACCCGTCATCCTGCCAAATCGGGTCTGGGGGGCAAGTTGTTTGGGTCCAATTTAGTCCAATTGGGCCTAGTCATTAAATGATCCAATTAAAAGCCCAAGGTCAAGATTCAACTCTCCAATTGTGCTAAAGTCAAAGATCAGTCCTCAAGGCAAGTCAATTGGGCTAAGGCCCAACTTCTCCATATATGCAAAGGTATAAAAGCCATCAATATTACATTTGTACATTCATTCAAACAAAGCCTCAAGCAATTAATTCTCTTGCATAGCATTCTCTTTCTACACACTGTACTGACTTTAGCATCGGAGGGGCCTTCCTCGGCAACACCCCCGAGGCTAGTTTACGTGTGTTTGCTGTGCAGGAAACCTTCGGCCCAACATCACTTGGACCGAATCCAGTCTTCTCCACTTCATCGGACCTTCGACAAGGTCCCATTATTTTCACCCGAAACATATATATATATAAATTGAAATAACAAGAAATTCATATTAAAATAACATAACTTTTATAAATCTAGAGTACCAAGCACACGACACTCCAGAAGTAGCATAGAATTTGCGCACCAGACACCTTAATTAATTGGAATTTTTAATTTCTTTGACAAGATTAAGGTAAAAAATAAAACATAGTAGCTTGGCTTCTAACTTTACCTACCAAACGTTGTATCTCTTTTCTGATAGGAACGCAAAGCGTCGAGGAACACATCTTTCCCGAAATCAGGTGCACAAGTGTTGGTAATATGTAGATGAACATTGGCAATTTGCCACCCCAACAACATGCCAACGCGAAGTTGGCCGCCTGTTCGTATAAATAGGTCTGGAATAGGTCGAGAGCCAAGGACGGCAAGATGTTGTTGAATCAAATCTTCATTAACATCTTCTAATGTAATGCTTCCTTCCTTGACTTTGTGGCAAATTTTTCTTGTTGCTTGAACTATGTCACTTTGTGAAGTGTAGCATATTGGAAGGACTAAATCAAGTTTTGCATTGTCTTTTGTTGCTTCTTCTACTTTCTTTATTGTGGCTTGAAGTGATTTAGGTAACATGTACTTTTCTCCTACCGCCAACACTCTTACTCCTTTCCTGTTTCACAAGGGTTGCCAAATTAAAAAAATAATAAAATAACAAATAAAATAAAATACCATGGCAATGTTTTTGAATTGGTTTTTGAAATTGCGCTAAGTATTGGTACATGCCAATGTTTTACCAAGAAACAAATACCATGTCAATTTTTGTAAAAAAAAAAAATAAAAAAATAAAATTGTGAGAACTTACTTTGTAAATCCTTGTTTTTGTGAAAAGAAATTTTACAAAAACAAAAAAAAAAAAGCCGTAAAAATCTACCAATAATTTATATTCGCTATAATACTTATCTGACAACGAAGCATTCACTTTTTTTTTTAATATTTTTCTTAAATTGCGTATCTATACAACAGTTTAGTAGTACATAAAGTATGGACGGATTACCTCGTAAAATATTCCAATTCCTCCTCTAAAACTGTTTCAAGTTGATCTAGAAATAAATCAACTTCTTCCTGTGATGTAAAATTTTAGGAGGAAGCGTTAGAATAAAATAACGTAACTGCGACAAGGAGAGTTTATCCATCTATTAATGCTTATTTTTAAAATCAACTTGAGGCGAAGTCAAAATTTTCAAAGCCAATGGAGCCTTTATAATAATGAAAAAAAAAAAAAAAAAACTATGTAATTTGCATAGTATTAGTCAAATTTAAATATTCAAAGTAGTGTTTCTAATATCATTATTTACTCACACCAATGATTTTATTAGACGAGTTTAAGTGAGTCTATTATTTGAATTGTTTGGTAGGGAGTAAAAAGGTGTTAAAGAACCTTAAAATGAACCCAAATGGTGAAAAATAATCGAGAATTTTCATTGTCATGCAAATGATAAAATAGAAACAATAACATTTTCATAGAATTACTTTTAACAAACAATCAATTTCATGGTTCATCTTTGCTCATTATTGATGATTAAATGAGCAATAAAAACTAATAATCATGAAAATGAATAAAAAGCACATTGGTTACATCTTGTACCTAAATGCATATAAAAGTTTTCAACTTTTAAATGATCAATAAACTAAATAATCATCTAAATGCATGTATACTTTCAAAGAGGTTTGTGTTAATTTTTATCTTTGCGAGTTGCACATGAGTTACTATGAAATCTAAAGCATATTTTATGCGGGACAAAGAAATTATTCTTGTATACTATTTAAAAAACTCTCTAATATAAGTTAAGTACCCTTGCCAAACAACCTAAATAAATTTCTAAAAAATGACCAAGATATGTATACCTTAGATCGCTTCTTAAAATTTCTAAGACCATACACGTAGAATGTGGCACTACTAACTTTCCATTTGAGACAATACTCAATAAACCTCATGAAACCCTGATAGAATGGCTTATAATCAAGATCTAGGCCATGTTTTTTATGCCATGTCCTAGATCCATCCAAGGCTAAAGCCACATGTTTAGGGATAATAAACTCTTCTTCTTGATTCATAACTTCACAATTTTGATCACAATTTTTCGGTGTGATGAAATTACACAAGGATCTCAAACTGTTCTTCCTACTAATGAAGTGATTTGGGTTGTAGTTGGGGAAAATTGGGTTGTATATTTCTGTTGGTTCAACTAATTTTTTAGAAGATGCCAATAAAGAGAAGCCATTTACTCGGACGAAACGTAGCATATTTACTTGGTAAGTTTTGCTATTTTGGAAGATAGTAGGTTACGGATTGGATAAATGAATGTATGGTTTTGGTTTTGTAAACTACTAGAATTAAATGAGGTACTTATATTCCCAAGTAGGTGGCTCCAATAGAATGTCTTTTTTTGAAGGTATAGATGTCAATGGATACGATTTGAATTGGGGTATAGCTTCATTTGCATCCATTCATCATTTTATAGATCCGCCTACATCCATCATTTGCTCTCATTCATCTATCATCCACGGATGAAATATGTTGATAAATAATATGAATACTATTCAATTAGCATTAAGGTACGGTTATTTTCTAATATATATATATATATATATATATATATATATATATATATATATATATATATATATAATTTTATTTATAAGAATGAAACAATAACAACAAATCACTTCTTAAAATCCGTGTATCATCCCATGTTGCAAATATATGGGGAATGGAGGAGATATACAGTACATTAAACTTGAATTCATATTTCTTGAATGAACATTCAATTTATAATATTTGTAATACCATTAATATTATACTAGTATTGTTAGAATGAACATGACACTACTTTTTTATTGAAATGAAATTTAAATGAACTTATGTTCTCTATATATTAACATATACAATGTAAGTATTATTTTCTTGACTTTTAATTTAATTTTACTTAAAAATGAATTTATACATAAGTCAATAAAATAAACTACATTTTGCCTATTTTGATCAAAATCAATTCACTTATAATAAACCTCAATTTATCCATTGTTCCAAAATTACAATAGGACTTCAAATCGTTATATTCATTTTTTATACAACCAAAATACACCTATAGCCAGAAATCAAAGAATAATCAACTTTGAAACCAAATAGACCATTCCTTAATCACAAATTCATCAAACCATTAAATCCTAAATAATAGCAAAATAAAAAAATAAAAAAATTGAATGATAAATTCTTAACAAATACATCCCATATTGCAAAAAAGGCACAAATGATAAAATTGAATGTCCCATGTTCATTTTTATAATTTTACAAATGATAACCGTGTTCATTTTGTTTGAAATTTTACATACCCCTATCAGACCTTAACCATTAAGGTATTTTTGGTCCAATATTTGCGAGTAAGACACTTAGGAATAGAGGGGAGATCAAGTAAGGCAATCCTTACTCCCAAGTACTCTTACTTGATAAGTTTCAAACCTTATACCTCTAGGATTTAAGGTAAGAAACTTATCAAGTGAGTCAACACTTTATAGGTATCATAGTCTCGAATTGGTATTTCTTTAAAAAACACACTATCAGATTTTGTCCTTCTATCTTTATTTTCGGAAATTTATGGGCACCCTAAAGCATATATGATTCAGTACATCAACCCTTAATTGTATCTTTATTATTAGGGTGCTCATAAATTTGGAAAAGTAAAGATAGAAGAATAAAAACATATTTGATAAAACGTAAGAAATGAAAAAAAAAGGGTGATGCTATATGTTGCCCTTATGGCTACAAATAAACATTAAATATGTTTTCTTATTTAATATTAGTTTAGGAATGTATGACATAATCACACACATATCATTATAATTAGTGAATATTTTTAATTAATGCTTTCCACTTTTAGCCTTTTATTCATTACAAATTCTTAAATGGACCTGGTTCACACTAATTTATTGTGGACCACTAACATTAGAGAAAGTATGGTTGTTTTATTAACAAAAAAAGGGTCACTATAATTTTAAAAAAGGTCACTATGTTGAAATATAAATCATTTGGTAATATATAGGCCTAAGTGATTATTTTTGTAATGAAATATTTTATATACTGATCAATATGAATAATAAAGGCCACTATGCTAAAATTAGGGTAATAGCGTCGTATTTCAAGTTCACAATATTATTAAACGTTGTAGTAGTTTTAATAAAGGTTACTATATTAAAAATAACTAGGTTAAGTCCCGTGCCATGCACGGTTATACTTAAACTTTACAACAAAAATTATAAAGAATGGTTTTTATTTATTTTTTATTTTTATTTTTGAGGGGAATAAAGAATAGTTGTTAATTTAACAATTTATCAAAAAAAAATATTTGTGACAAAATAACTTGAATTTTAATTTATACCAAATGCGTAAAGGTTATTGTTTTGAATTTTATAAAAAATAATTTATTAATAGAAATTTAGAAACTATTGGGTTTTATATAAGAAAACGAAAATATAAGCTTAGGTTAGTACCCGTATATGTCTTCAAAAAAAAAGGGAAAAAAATAAAAGGTTAGTACCCGTATACGAACTCATATACATTTATCCTTATATTTTTGTTGACTCACTTTGACCGGCATTAAATGAAAATTTAGGTGATTTATATTACTTTAGGATAATTAGTATTCCATAATCAACTTTTTAAAAATGTATTTATAGTGAGTAGTAGCGGTTTTTATTTTAATTTTAATAATCACATTGCATAACGATTAATGTCAAATGATTAATGTTGGAGCTTGGAGGAAAAAATTGATACTCCTTAATATTTAATACCTTATTTTTAATCTATGTTTGTATACTTGTAACTAAAAGATTAATAGTATATAGAATATATGATAAAAAAAAATATTAATTGAGTATGGTTGGATTAGATATGTTGTCAAAATAGAAATAAGTATTATTGTAGCTTATAAAATGGAAGTCATTAAAATTTGGTTAAAAAAAAAAAGAAAGTGCAAAAAGGAGGGAAAATTATTAATGACATCGTGACAAATGTTATCTTAGGTTCGCCTTTAGTATAGGTTAATTGATTGAAGGTTACTATGTTAAAAATAATGGTCATTATGTTCAATATAATGTCAGTTGCATGTGTATAGATCTCGGGTCTACAATAATATTATTTTGGACCAGGTCCACGCAAATCTTTTTGTTTATTCATACCCCTTATTGCTATATACAGTACTGCTTAACTGCTATACAGATGTATTATTACACAGATAGGCTCAAAACCTCTTCATTACTAGAAAACAAAATTTGGAGACAATTAGACAAGGTTGACGGCCTACCTCAAAAATAAAATATGCAGCCCATACCAGCTACGATTTTGGGCCCTTCCAAATCTTGCCAATATCCCTTTTTCTTTTCTCTTCTTCTTAGGTAGGATAATGCGTATTATTAGGTTGAAACTTTAAGACCTCCCATAGATTAGTTCAATCCAAGTTAGTTGACGACAATAATACTCTTTGAACAATGCTATTTTAAAAAGCAGCATGTCTTCATAAGAAGTTAAAGAAAACTAATTAATGTACATCCTAGCATATGTTATTATACCGTGGAAAAAAAAATGGAGTAAATTTGATAGCATAATCTATTTACTGGCACTAATTTATTTTAAGCACAATTTGAAACTATCTATCTATTTATTTATTTATTTATTCATTTATTTATACACATAAAATTTCAATAATAATTAATTGTATTTTTAAGCGGTGTGTACACACCTTTTAAGTACACACTTTCATAACCAATGTGGCAATGTGTATGACTGTATGTTAATTTAGGTGCACATAATAAAATTCTTCTAATAAAGTTGAATTAATATTAGATCTAACCTATAATAGTCGTTTAAAAATGACTAACACAATTTTTAAAATTGGATGACTTTGATTTAATAACTTTAAATATATTTTAATGCTAAAATTAATTAAATTTTGATTTTTCTTATTTTAGAAACTCAATTTTAATTTTCAATTTTTTTTCCAGTTAATTTATGAAATTCAATTTTAATTATTAATACAATTGAAAATCAGATAATAAATTAAATTTTTTATTAGAAAATATTTGAATTAATATTTAATTAGTATTAAAATATAAAAATTATTTAAAATTCAATAAATCTTAACCGTTCTGTTTAAAAAATTATGGTTATCATTTTTCAAACAACAACCATAAAATCTATTCTTGGGCTTCAACCATTAGCTTAAACTTTTGGTTGAGTTGGTCCACCAACATGGTATCAGAGCCAGCGTGACACAACGGTCATGGGTTCGAATCTCATCCGCCCCTCTTTCAAAGTGGAATTAATTCGCACCAGGTATGGGTGGGCCTGTTTTGCATCCACATTTCAAGCTCAAAGGGTCTTTCATGTGAGGGGGAGTGATAGAGTATTAAACTTATTCCTGGGCCTCAACCATCAGTTTAAGCTTTTGGTTGAGTTGGTCCACCAACAAAATCATCCATATTCCATAATACCTATCTTTCTTTTTGGTTTTCTAATAGGTAAAATTTTTACACTCCCACTATGCCACAATAATATTAAATGATCAACGAATGGTAGAAAAACCACTAGCTAACCAAAAGTTGTACAATGCTTTTCTTATTAACAGGGTCTACAATGAGAATAAAGAAATGATGTGGGCTTCTAGGGCTTTAGATTTTCACATCATATCGCAATTTGATGAGCACATGTTTCACGTGTTATTAAGGTCATTTTCGTTATTCATTTACTCCATCTTTTAAATCAATATCTCGAATTTCAACAAAAGAAAAAAAAAAGTCACTATCTCACCAAAAACTTATTTAACTTTATTTTTTACATTAAATATTACACTCTAAATCAATTAGTGACACCAACAAAACAATAAACCATGCTTTGTTGATTGAGCAAAAAAAAAAAAGGTAATCAATCCGAAATTTTTATGTGTTTCGAAAAGTAATCTGAGTAGTTGATTGCCATTATTAGTGATGTCCCTGTACTATATATATATATATATACATAAATATATATATATATAGTGCCCGTGCGATGCACGATTTACAAATCAAATTATTAAACCCGTAGGAAAAATAAAAATAAAAACAAAGGTAATTCATTTACTATTAAAGGACTTGGTTACTAATGGTCAATAAAAAGAATTAAAGGAACGTCATTTGAATAGTATTTTATGTTATTTGAATTTCTTTTAATTTTTTATAATGTTATTTTATTAATTGAAAAATAATTGAATAATACTCCACATAACTATATAAGAAGTGGACTAATTTATTTATATCTCCCGTTGAGAAAAAAATAAAATTTTCTTATCATACCATCCGCATCAGTAGCTACAATCAATCTAATATATACATGTTTTATTTACCCGTCGCACTCATTAAATCTATAAACACAATAATA